TAATTGCTGAGTATTTTTTTTATCAATATGCAAAACTTTTGTTTCTTGAACATATTCTTGATATTGTATAAACTAGTGTTAACCCTTGGAATATATTATTAAGTAAACAACTTTTATTTTCTTCTTTAATAAAAATGACTGGGGGCTGGGGGGAGAGGCTGGATGGCTCAGTGGTTAAGAGCACTTGTTGCTCTCGCAGAAAACCTAGGTTAGGTTCCCAGCACAAACAGGATGGACCTGTTAACTCCAGTTCCAGGGGATTCAACACCCTCTTCTAGCCTTCATGAGTACTATACGCATGTGGTGCACTTACATACATGCAAGTAAAACACTCATACACATAAAGTATAAAAAAACTATCTGTGAAACAGTCATGAATCACATTCAGTATTTAATAATATGATCAAGGTTAGTTAAGTCAAAAACAATACTTTATTAGAAACACTTCTGACATGTGCGGGAAGAATCTGCAGATTTAAGCTTCTATCTTTAATATTGTCTAAAGGGGCCAGGGAGACAGCTCAGCAAGTAAAGGCACTTGTGCAAGCCCAACAACCTGAGCTCAAGCCCTGGAACCCACCTAAAAGTGGAAGGCAAGTAACAAGGCCAACGTTATCCCCTTACCTCCAGACGGGCTATGGCCCCTCCCAATAAAAATTTAATTACCTAAAAGTAGTGGTGCATGGTAGTGTAAACCCATGATCTGAGCACTGGTTGGGCTGAGGCAGGATGAGAGAATTTGAGGTCAGTCTAGTTTACATAGGAAGGCCTTGAATTAAAAAAAAAAAAAAGTTCTTACAACTCCCTGCCCCTACCCCATTCCCAACTGAATGTAACAGCTTAACAATGTATGCATCTTTTCGGATCTTTTAATGGAATGTTTTGAAATCAAAGCATAATTCACCACAAAGATAAATCGGCAAACACAACTTCTGAATGGCATGTGTAGTGGGAACACGGGGATGTCACCTACTACTAATAATAATCAGCACATGCATCAGGAGAAAGGAGGCCGGTGCCAGCTACTCATCAGATACAGCTGCTTTAATCATTTCCCGCAATGACATTCCATTCCACATACATTAGCTTTTTACTTAAAAGAAACAGCTCTCCTTCCAGATTAGGTGCAAAGTAAAGCAACTTCAGTAGAAACATTTGCTACGATGTTATTTTAGAAAGGTTTAAATTCTTCAAAATGTCCAAAGTGTGCTTAAAAGATGTCTAAATCATGATGATGGTCCACCTCAATGGCTTCCTCAGCATCCACCCTGGCGTCCCCATTTCCTTCCTGAGGTTCATCGGTGGAAGCCAGAGCCTCATTTGTGTCACTTGCAAAAGTTTCTCGTGATGTATCATCGTCCTCCTGAAAATTGAGACTTTTAATAGCTTGTTTCATTTTTTTCCCTAATAGTTGTGTTCTTCTTTTTCTAGCAGCTTTTTTATTTTCATACTCCTTTTGATTTTCAATGTAGAAAATGTCCTGAAATAAATATAACTTTGGTTAAAAAATAACATACTATTAACAGTTTATTTTAAGGTACATATTTTTTTTTCCTAAAATGTATTTTATTTTTATTTTATGTGTATGAGTGTATTGCCTGCATGTATGCGTGTGCGCCTATGTTATGCAATGCCTTGGAGGTCAGAAGAGGGCATCAGATTCTCCTGGAACGGGAGTTAAGGACAGTTTGTAGCTGCCATTTGGGTGCTGGGAATTGAACCTAGGCCCTCTGCAAGAGCAGTCAGTGCTCTTAACTGATGAATCATCTTTCCAGCCCCAAGGCATGTAATTTATAATCATCTCTTATTGCTCACAAAACAGTTATTAAATCAGAATCACGATACTAAATAAGTGCTTACTGGTATGCTCAAAACCAAATCTGTTACATAGCCCATGCATATTATACCCTAACACAACATCCCACAGCTACCATAGGAAGTTTGTTTAGGGTTTAAATAAAATATAACTGATTATACAACAAAACAGAATAAATACTAAAGATTTACTAACTTTGACATGTCTTAACTATATGTGATCATTTGTGTTAAACCACTGACAGACGTGGTGGCAGATGTCTTTAATTCCTGCACTCAGGGGGCAGAAGCGGGTGATCGCTATGAGATCCCGGCCAGGCAGGGCTACATAGTGAGACCCTGTTTCAAATTAAACACCCACCCCAAAAGAATGTCTCTAAGTCAATATTCTCTTATTCTAAATGTTTATTATTGTAAAGCAAAATTAACATAAAAATTGACTAAAACCAAAATTCCCTCCTTCTACAATGAGTTGGAATAATTGAATTTCAAAATAATTGATATTTATAGTAAAACACAGGTTTTAGAGCCAGGGTGGTCTAAGTGATCCCAGGAAACTCAATTCTTTTACTATTTATTTGTAGAACAGGCTAAAACACACTTTGACACACTGTGATACATATAACAAATTTTGGCCCAGTGCAAATGAATATTTTTTTCTTCTCTGGAAACTTTTTGTACAAGATGACTTAAAAATAGCTTTTAGAGGGCTGGAGAGACAGACGGCTCAGAGGCTGAGTGTTGGCTATTACAGAGGACCCAGGTTCAATTCCCAGCATCCACAAGGCAGGTAACAACTGTCCAGAACTCCAGTTCCAGGGGATCCAATACTGTCTTCTGACCTCTGCAGGCACTGCATGACACAGGTGCGTTTTCATACATGCAGGCATAACACATACACATAAAATAAAAATATTAAAAAGAAAAAGCTTTTAGGCCAGTCATGGCGGTATACACCTTTAATCCTCATGTTCAGGAAGCAGAGGCAGGAGGAGGATTTTGAGTTTGAGCCTTGTCTGTGCTACAAAGAAAACAGAGAGGGACAAAAAGCAAAGCCTTTTCTCAACATCACTTTATTTAATTCCTTTATACTCTCATTACTCAACAGTTAGGACTCTGTGTGTGTGCGCGCGCACGCTAAAGTGCCCACTTTACTGTGTGTGTACACATAGCCCTGTGACTGCACAAGTATGTGTGCATGACTATGGGGGAGAGGTCCACGTCATGTATCTTCCTTGATCACACTGTCTTTTTGAGACAAGGTTTTTCACTGAACTTGGGGCACACTGACTGACTAGGCTCCTGCCAGCCAGTCAACTCCAGAAATCATCTATCTGTCTCCTCTTCTCATCCTGGCCCTGAGGTTACAGATGCACCCCACTGCACACAGCTTTTACTTAGGTGCTGGGTTCACAGCAGGCACTTCACCAACAGAGGCATCTGCAGCTCTAAAGTCACCACTCAGCAGATGAGAAAATTGTGTCTGAGTGAGATGTGATCTACTCAAGGTCATGTACCTACTAATTACTACAATAATATTAAAGCTCAGATTCTGAATTTCATATAATTCCTTTCATTTTGTAATGCTAGTTTCTGAAAATAGAATCTTGTTATCAAGTAAGAACTCAAGGAGCACCTGTTTTCTTTTTGTTTTTTTGGTCTTTTTTGAGACAGGGTCTCCCTGTAGCCCCAGTTGGCCTGGAACTTGCGATGTAGACCAGGTTGGCCTTGAACTCACAAAGATCTGTCTGCCTATGCCTCCCAAGTGCTGAGATTAAAGGAGTGTGCTACCACACCAGGCCAATGGCACACACTTTTAATCCCAGCACTTGGGAGGCAAAGGCAGGTGGGTCTATTATTTTGAAGACAGCCTGGGCTACTCAGTGAGACTCTTGTCTCAAAACAAAACAAAAGAGGACAAGCAGTTGGGAGGGGGTACATGTTGGGGAGACCTAGGGGGAGTTGGGAGGGGGAGTATGCATGATCAAAACAGACTGTAGTCAGGCATCATTGTGAATGCCTTTAATTTCAGCCCTGGGAGGCAGAGGCAGTCAGATCTCTCTCTGTTAAGATCTAGGTCAGCCTGGTCTACACAGTGAGTTCCAGGACAGTTGGGGCTACAGGAAGACCCTGTCTCAAAAAGAGGGAAAAATATTTGTTGAAATCACTGAACATCTTGATATCTGCTATTTATTTCTAAATAAAACAGAAAAAGAGTATACAGGTAAACTAAGAATGTCAAGGTATTAGCCACTGCTGAACGTTTCCATTTATCATATTTAAAGATGTTTATTACTAGTTCTGGAGTACTGAAACAACAATGACAAGTTCAGAGACCAAGAAAAACTACCACAAAAATATAAGAAATCTTGATTTTTAACTGTCAAACGGAAGAAAAAGATGAGGCAAAACTATAAAATGCATAGGTTTTATTTGTATTAAAGACAGACAATACTGGTCCGTCTAATAAGGCAGTGAGAGAGTAGAAAGTGAACCCCTGCTGAAGCCAAATTACTCTGCATCTTTTTTCCTCCTTTATTTCCTCGAGATGGGGACTTGCTGTGTAGCCCAGGCTGACCTGGAATGTGTAGTGATCCTCCTGTCTCTGGGTGCAGGGGTTACAATGTGTGCTACCAAGTCTGGAGTTTGGATGCATCTTAAAAGTCAAGGGCATAGTCACTGTCATTACCTTAATCTGTTCTTCGCTGATACTAGGAGTGTTTTTCAGGAGATTCAGAAAGACTCCACCTGGTGTTCTTCTTCGACTACCGTTCTACAAGGAGGGATAGAAAGTTAGACTACATGGACTATCTTAAATGTATTCTATGACAATTTCATACATAAAGAATGATTATTGATTCATGTAACGGCTGCTTTCCGGCAGGTGGTACCTCATGTAACCTCTTAGTCTCAGCATGCTGAGTTCCAGAAACAGAATATTTCAAACCAGATAGAATTGTATATATACTATTGGCTTTGAACGTTCAACATCATGACCAGTTTCAACACAACTGATCTTGGTTCTTATGTCACTGCTTTTGGTTCTGCCTGTTGTTGAAGCAGTAGAAGCTGGAGATGGGACTGCTCTCTTGTTAGGCGTGGTTCTCAGCATTACAGGAATATGTGCTTGCTTGGGGTTATACCCTCAAAATTGAAGTGGACAGATGTAACTTTGAAGGCTCTTATGAATCAGCTTTCACCCTAAACCCATTATGCTGTTGAAGCTAAACCTGAGGGTTGTCTCTATAGTTCCCAGCAAACAGTTAATAGGGTTAACTGGTTAATATTCTTGTTTCTCATTAAATGGGAAGATACTTGTTAAATGAGGGGGAAAAATGTTTTCTTTACAACAAATAGTGCACTAAAAAAATGCAGCCTATAATGTATATTTGTTGCTTAGGAAGAGGGTCAAAATGCAATGGCTTAAACTTACATATATATTACTTCATACTTTCAGAATTGTCAAAGCATACAAAAAGAAAGTGTTTGCTCAGAATCTAGCAAATCAGCATTGTTCAGTTGTAATCACTGCCTCTTGAATCCTTGAAGAGTCTTTGTTCTCCCTTTTTTTATTATTATGTTTCTGTTTTATCTCCCAAGTTGATGTTGTACTTAGATATTAAGTTGCCAAAAATTGAAATTTTTATGTCTGAGGGAAAGAACTTTTAATAAAAACGTACTCAATGTATCTAATACTCAAAAAAAAAAAAAAAAAAAAAAAAAAAAAAAAAAAGAAAAAAGAAAAAAGAATGATTATGATTATTATTTGTTTAGCAGTGCTGAGGACTAAAACCAGGCCTTCTACGTGCCAGCAAAGTGCCCCATCAATGAGCTACAACCCCAGCTCCTAAACCATAGTCTTCCCACAAATGACCAAGGCATATTTGAGCAGAGATGTATTTATCCAGACAGACAAAACCAGACTTGAAAGCCAGACCAGATCTTTCTTTCCTTTTTGGTATTTATTTCTATTTTTTAAAAAGACTACATTAAAAAAACATGATTTCTCTTTGCACCCTGACAAATTTTGTACCCAAGGGAGAAATTGCTCATTTCACTAATTTCTGGCCCTTACTGGTACCTTTTACTTCTACAGAGCTGCCATATGACCATGGCCCATTCTTATAGTACTCCCTTTACTTTAAGTCTTTGGAAATTTCTACTCTGGCCACTCCTAAGTAGTCTTCTCCTCTCTTCTTTTCCTTATACTTATTTGATCTATTTCTCTTCCCAGAGCACATATATTTTCTGATACACTTGAAATTAAATTTTTTTAAAAATTAAAAACATTAAAAAAATTTTATTTCCTTAGGGGAGGCATGTGTGGCAGACACACAGGTGGCATCAGCGGACAACTTGCAGAAGCTGGTTCGCTTTACTCTACCATGGGGGTCCTAGGGATGGAATTCAGGTTGTCAGGCTTGACAGCAAGCACCTTTGCCCACTGAACCTTCTAGAAGGCTCCTTGTTTATTCTTTTCATGGTTTTCTTTCTTGTCTTTTTGAGACAGAGTCTCCATTCTATAGCACTAGCTGGTCTGAAACTTGATTACAGGCATGTGCCACCATGCCTGGCTTTATAGTGTTTATAAACTGGCCCTTTCTGGTCCTCAACTACAACAACTCCTTGTTCTAGAACAGTGCTCAGCAAAGGAGACACTCAGAAAACACGTATCAAAAGTACATTTGAATTTGCATCTTTTCAAGATTCAAAAAAATTTTAGGGGCAGGAGAGATGGCTCAGAGATTAAGAGCACTGGCTGCTCTTGTGGAGGACCGGGGTTCAATTCCCAGCATCCACATTGGGGCTAACTCTGTAACTCCAGTTCTAGGAGATCTGATGCCCTCTTCTGACCTCTGTGGGCATTGCACCACATGGGTGCACTTGCATACACAGTAGTACATACACATAAAAATAAAAATAAATTTTTAGATTTTATTTTTAATTATGTCTGTGTACGTGCACACGTGAATACAGGTGCCCTTGAAATCCAGAGAAGCATCAGATTCCTTTAGAGCTGAAGTTACAAGTGGTTATAGGTTATAAGTTGCCCGACACAGGTACTAGGAACCAAACTCAGGGTCCTCTGTAAGAACAATACTCGCTCTTAACTGCTGAGCCATTTTCCCAGTCCCCAATGCCATCAATTCTATAGGTTTCTTTTGTTTCCAATCCCACAACATGTTATCTATCTGCCTGTGCTGTGCCTATTGGGTAACAACCCGCAAAATGTGAGTTGTGAGTAAGAAGGAAGGGATTCACTTTCATCCTCACTCCACAGTGAAAGCTGAATCCAGTGAAATCTGTAAAACCATTCTATAAGGTAGCTGTTACTGTCCATGGTGTGGAGAGAGGAGGAACTTCCATCATTTAGTACATACGCACTGGAAAGTTCATTTTGTTTAAAGAAAGTATAATGTAAAATCAAGAACAGTAACGCAGGCTTACCATTATGAAAAGACCACCATTCTGTTCAACTTCAGCAGTTTCCATCAGAAGTTCAATGGCTTTTTTGTTCCCAATTATCCTCACTACTCGGGCTATCAGATCTTTCTTTGGTTCTTGTAACCTGATGAGAACAAATAAGGAAAATTTACCATCTACCTGTTGTTGATCAAAACTACTTTAGCTGGGCATGGCAGCACACCATAATTCCAGCACTAGGAAGGCAGAGGCAGGTGGATCTCTGTGAGTTCAAGGCCAGCCTGATCTACATAGCAAGTTCCAGGCTAGCTGGGGCTTGGACAGGGGAGACTCTGTCTCAAAAAGATCAAAAGAACCAAACCAAAACAAAACAAAAACAACTTTAATTTTCAGTGTAGTTGTCAATTAGAAAAAAAAAAAAAATCTTGCTCTAGGAACATCTGCTTTTCTGAATTATTTATCAACCCTGGAATCAATGACACAGTAACATCCTAGACTTTAGTCACACAAGGAGACAGGAACATCTCAAAATACATGAGCATGCGGAGCAAAGGAATGAGCTCAAGCCTAAATGCAAAGATGAACTCAGTGTACTTCTGCCCAAACAATAACAATCATAGCTATGCTTTCAGTTATTACGCCTGAAAAGTAACGAATATTTGCTAGTTTTATACTATAATAGCTACAAGCCTAAGGACTTGATCTGCATTATGTCAGTTCTTCAAAATGTAATGAATTAGACACTTTTTTGAGACAGGGTTTCACTATGTAGTCCTGGCTGGCCTCAAATTTAAGAGATCTGTCTGTCTGCCTCTCAAGTGCTGGGACTAAAGGTTTGTACCACCATGTCTGGTAAGATACTTACTTTCATTTTACCATTCAGAGATTAAAAATACAGGAAACTTTGGTAACTTTTTGAGACAGTCTCCCTGTAGCCCCAGTTGGCCTGAAACTCACTTGTAGACTAGGTTGGCCTTGAACTCACAGAGATCTGCCTGCCTCTGCCTCCCAAGTGCTGGGATTAAAGGCCTGTGCCACCACAACGAGAGGGCAACTCTTCTAATAGGGTCAGAGCCCATGTTCCCCAGAGATGAAGAAAAATTAATCGTGCAGAAACCTCAATTTCTAATCAATATACCATCCTTTGCTTCTTCTGGTAGGAGGCAATGCATCACTGTGGAAAAAGCATTACAAGAGGAACAAAGAGGTCGTTTAGTTTCAATTCTGAGACAAATTAAATTGGCAACCCTGTTCAAGCCATGTAACTACTGGGCTCCAGTTTCCTTATCTTTAAGGTGAAGCATTTGGTTTATAAATTCTACATTCCTTTTCAGAATTAAAATTCCAAACTTGACTATTAAAAAAAATCCAGTACTGTTGCTACAACAGGCTTGCGTGAAAAGCAAATACTTGTTTCCCTAAAACTCGTATTTATTTTCAAATTTGTAACTAGTGATTTAGAGTTAATAAAAAAGTTAATTAGAATTTGAACCTACAAAAAAATACTTGAAACGTCAATTTAACATCTGACAAGCAATTTTACTATTTACTCCAAACAAATAAAAACATATCACCAAAGAGCTTCATGAAAAAGTTCTTAACAGCACTATTCATAAGAAGTAAATGTACACAACCCATCCAGTCTGGATGTACATACACAAATCTATATACATACAATGAAAAGGAAGGCTGGGGTATGGTGGCCCACAGCTTTAATCCCAGCACCTATGAGGCAGAGGCAGGCAGATTTCTGTGAGATTGATGCCAGTCTGGTCTACACTGAGTTCCAGGTCAGCTGGAACTGAAGACCCTGTCCTCCCCCCCGCCCCCACAAAAAAAGCAACAAAACAACCCACAAACTAAAAAAACAAAAACAAAAAACAAAAACCACATAAAGCAAAATGCTCCCTATTTACAAATTAAGAAATTAAATATGGGGCTGTAAAGATGGCTCAGTGGTTAAGAGCACACTGACTGTTCTCGCAGAGGACCAGCACTGACATGGTGGCTAACCACTGTCCTTGTCTCCACTTCCAGAGGATCTGACACCCACTTCTGACCTCTTTGGGCACTGCACAACACAGGTGCACCTACCAACGTGCAGGCAATATCCTCATATACATAAAATAAAAATATTTTTAAAAGAAATTAAATACTGATTCCTGCTACAATATAATCACCATTTATTTATTATTATTATTTTTTTAGGTCATTTTGAGATAGACTGTCCCTGTAACCTCAGCTGACCTGGAACTATGTAGATCAGGCACCAGGCTGCTGGCCTTGATCTCCCAGAGATCCACCTGCACCTGGCGCCATGTAATCACTCTTAAAAGCATTTCACAGAGAAAGGAAGTCACATGTTAAGCTACATACTACATGGTTGTATTTGTGTCCAGAAATGGCAAATTTATAGACAGAAAGTAGAATTGTAGTTTGGGGAGGAGAGTAGGGGTTAACAATAAATGGACACAGTTAAAGGATTTCTTTGGGTGACAGAGGGCAAAGGTTTTAAAAGGCATGGTTCGTAAAACCTGGTAAATTTACTATCATGAAAAAAAAAAAACTGAAAACAAGTGAATATAATATGTAAAATAGTTAACACACATGTGGAAATCAGAAGACAACTTGCAGAGGTCAGTTTTCTCCTTCTACCACATGGGACCCAGGGATTGAACCCAGGTCGTCAGGTTTGGTGGCAAGCACCTTTACCCACTGAGCCATCTCAACAGCCCCTTTTTTCTTTCCTTTAGAGACAATGTCTTATATAGGCCAGGCTGGCATCAAACTCCTCTTTTGCAGAGGATGATCCCTCTGCCTCCCAAGTGCTGGGATTATAGCCTTGTACTATCATGCCCAGTTCACAGAGTGCTAGGGATTCATTGCAGGTCTTCATGCACGTTAGGCACTCTACCAAGTGAGATATTATCTCCAGCTCAAGGTTTTTGGGTTTTTTTTTTTTTTGGTCTTTTTGAGACAGGCTTTCCCTGTAGCCCAAGCTGGCCAGGTACTCAGTATGAAGACCAGGCTGGCCTTCAACTCACAGAGATCTGCCTGCCTCTGCCTCTCGAGTTCTGAGATTAAAGGTGCATGCCACCACGTGGGTCCAGCCCCCTAAGGTTATTTTTCAAGATACAAATACATTCATGTAACCAAATATATTCTAAGTTAATTCTTTAAGTTAAAAAAAAAAAAACTCAAAAAGGAATTATCTGGTGTTTATTTTATTTCCTGTAAGAAGATATGTGGTTAAGTGCTCATTTGTAGGTCAAATTTGCATGCTCACCTGAAAGAAATTTCATCAGCCACTTTCTCTTGAGAATCTTCTTCCGTGATCTCATACCGGCCTTTATAGTTCATTTCTAGCCTGTCCCCTAGTCTGTCTTTGACAGGCCTTTTCCGTTTGAGATGGCCCTGCCCATTCTCTTCTTCCTTCGACCCTGGTTTTTTGCCACCGTGCATATAGTCATCTAGCTCTTTGTCTAGTTCTTTTGTACACTCTTGAGATTCTCTCCTAAGTTTCTTAGCGAGCAAGTAATTGTAGGTCTCAGATTGCCTGCTTCTGTCAATGGTGCCCTCCATTCCCAAGATGCCAAGTTCAGTGGCCACTGCATCCTGACTCTGTTCCTGCAGCACGGCACCCCATATGTTGTTCACCTTCTTTCCTCCAGCAGCAGCTGTTTTCTGACTGCTCTGGCCAAACTGAAAAGGCTCTGGCTTGGGAGGAGGATTAAGACATTTTTGTCGCTTCCGTTTCCAAAGAGAGCTATCTTCATCTGAATCGGAAAAACTCTCTTCACTTGAATCCACACTTTTAACAGTCCGATAATGTGACACTGGTGCACATACTGTTGCAGTACTCTGGAAAGCTCTCAGTGCACTGTCCCCACCTAGCACTTTCTGCAAGTGGAAGAAAATACAGTCAGTTCCACAAGACACATTAATTCTACCTACCATGGGTTATTTTTAAAAAGTATTGTGGGCATAATACTGTGCATGTCTGCAATCCCAAGACTAAGGCAGGAGGATCAGAAGTTTAAGGGAAATTAAAGTGAGTTCAGGTCAGTCTGAGTTGCACAGAGAGACCTTGTTAAGGGGAAAAGGAGAAGAGATTAAATTGGAGCGCTCTAAACATACGCTCCCAAAACATCTGAAACCAATCTAGTACATATTAAGTCAGACTTGGCTCTGAAAAACCTCCTAAAATTTACCAAGGCTCTTATCAACTTCAATTTTAGCCAAGCAGGATGGCACATGACTTTGATTTCAGCACTTGAGAGGCAGAAGGCAGATCTCTGTGAATTCAAGGACAGCCTGGCCCACAAAGTGGGTTCCAGGCCAGCTAGGGCTACAGGAAGACCCTGTCTCAAAGACCCAAAAAAATTGTTTTAATTGTAATATAGTAACTGCATAGATTTATGTGGTGTGGTTTCAATATATGTACATTTTGCACAACTATCAAATCAGCGTAATTAGTGCATCCATCATCTCAAAATCATTTTTCCTCCTGTGGTGAATGATTCAACATCCTTTTTTGTATATACAGGTGGGAATCTGCAGGTGCATCACACCTGGTTGATGCCCCTAAATGCTAGGCACTCAGTTGATAAACAGCTAGCAGCCGTCTTGTAGCTATTTTGAAATATACATGACTGTTAACTCATCACCCTACTTGCAATACAGCACCTAAATTGATTTCTCTTTAACTTTCTACTCGATCTTTGCTTTTTATACTAAAAGCTAAGCCGAGCATTTACTGAACTCCTGTTACATGTTAAAATGGGGACTTAGTCTTCCAGTAATAACGCCTGCTAACACCGTCGAGGCCTAACAGTGTGCAGTATTCTGCAGCATATCCTTACAAGCCCTATCAGATGTGAAACCAAAGCACTGCAACTAAATAGCCCACTTGCAGGTCAGATAGTGGCAGTGCCACGATGGGCGTGCAGGAGACCGGGCACTAAAGTCCTCTCAAAGAGGCTGAGCATACTCAGCACAGGGTCTCTGCAAATTCCCACTTGTGAAACTAGAAAGCCACTTGGAGGGAAGGCGAACGCCTGGAAGCCCCCAGCACTTCGGCAGGATGAGGCAGGACGATGGCTCAAGAGCCAGGTCAGCTACATAGTTGAAGTCCCGTCCAAAACAGTGGGGAGCTAAAATCAAGCCCAAAACTAGAAAGCCACTTGGAGGGATGGCGAACGCCTGGAAGCCCCCAGCACTTCTGCAGGATGAGGCAGGACGATGGCTCAAGAGCCAGGTCAGCCTGAGCTACATAGTTGAAGTCCCGTCCAAAACAGTGGGGAGCTAAAATCAAGCCCAATGCCTCCCTTACGGCACCTTCAGACCAAGCTCAGTGGGAACACTCAACACCAGGCCTGAGTAAGCACTCTCTCCCTAGTTCTGGGGACGAAAATGAGCACTCTAAGCAATTCCCGGCCTTTGGGCTCTAGGTTCTGCGTTTGGCCAAAACCCTGCCTTTAGGGGCTGCTGTGGAGAGGGGAAGTTTGGAGAATCAGGAGCGGCGTTCCGGAGCGCCGAGCAAGAGAGGGCGGCGCGGCTGTTCCGGGGGGCCGCGAGGCCCGCAGCCCCGCTCAAGTGAGCAGCCAGCCGGGTTCGGGTCCAGGCCTCGTGGCCTTCAGTTTGGGTGTGCCCGCCCCGTGCCCCCCTCCCCCCGCGCCCACCGGCACTGGCAACGGTCTGTCGCTGGGTACGACTGTCATGTCGGAATCTGAGTCGGAAAGCTGCCCGTCTTCCATATCGCCAGCCTCCAGCGCCATCTTCTCCCGGGCGGCGCTTCCGGAGACCACTTCCGGCGCGGTGGGTCAGGAGACCACTTCCTGCTTGGCGGCGGGAAGGCCCTGCGGCCGCGCGCGGGCGCCCCCGTGCGGGCGGCCTGGCCTCAGCGAACCCTCGGCGGACGTGGGAGGGGCAAGGACAAAGCTGAGCTTCCCAGGAGCCAGGAGCACTGCACCGCTAGAACTTTGTCTTATTGAGAGCTTAAGTGTGCGGATGGCGCCGAGATCCCTCTCTTGGCTCCACGCCTCGAACCTGGATGATCTGGACAGGCCTCCCCCCAGCTCTTCCACCTCGGGTCACCGCAACACTCAGATCTCCCAGGCGCTTGCTTCTAGCCATCCAGTGTGGTATGGGCCGTCAGGGACCCTGTTCGGTTCCTCTGCTGACCCTGCTGCCACTGTTTGTCCTCAGGACCCTTTTCTTTCTATGCAGAAGTTATTTGTAACGCTGTCGTTTTCTGGCCTTGCTGAGACATAAAAGGACCCAGCCCTCCCTAAGGACGTTTGGTTAAGAGTAAAGCACAGTTAAATCCTTGTTAAGTACTGTGAAAGCGCTGCTAATGCTAATGGAGGCGTTATTGTAAGCCCCTGTTCTTAATGTCTTTTTTTTTCCTTTAAATGAAAACTTTTGGAATCCGGGGCAATGTGAACATCCAATTTGTAAGAAATTGTGGTCCATTTTTAGTATGAGGGGTGCTTAAGTTACACCTATCAAAGAATCACACAGATAAGCAGGAGACACTAGCCTCCCTCCCCTCCTTCCCTAGCTGACAGCCGTCCTTGCTCTAGGTGATTTCAGTTCATCCTTGGGTTCAAAAGTTACAGGCAGTCTGCTCCCTGACTGAGCCAAGTAAAAAGAAAGATCTCAAGTCCCAGGATATACATTGGATAAGACTGGGTCCTAAACCAGTAGGGTGGGTGAAGGGAGACCTCCAGAAACCAGAACCATAAAGCAGTCTTGCTCTCCAAACAGGTGCTGCTTTATAAATAAGCCCTTCCAACACCCTTGGGGGTGGGGGTGGGGGTTGGGGAAATGCTTTATCCAATTGTCATGAGTATTTACATACAGAAGTATTTAAGTTCCCTTGCTGTTTGGCTTGTATGGCTAATGCAGATTCTGGCTGGTCAGTAGTCACCCCTCCTTGACTACAGGAGTAAAGGTCAGTTGAGACCATTGAGGTTGGTTGCTTTTCCTTTCCACCTGTGACTCAACTGTTAATCCTAACATCAAACCCAGGAGAGAGTTCAAACCCCTAATTCCTAACATTCTGGTCCTGAAACCCAGAGAGAGCTCTCTGGTTAAAACACCTAATTTCCGGGCTGGAGAGCTGGCTCAGTGGTTAAGAACACTGGTTGTTCTTGCAGAAGTTCCGGGTTTGAATCCCAGCACCCACATGGCAACTAACAACTGCCTGTAACTCCAGTCCCAGGGGATCTGACAGCCTCTTCTGACCTCCACAGGCATTGCATGACATGGGTGCACTTACCTACATGCAGGCAATACATGCATACACATAAAAATAGTAAAAAAAAAAACCCACCTAATTCCTACCTAACAACGGGGGAAGGGGGGAATATGCTAAACAAATATGAATATGTAACTCTGGAGTACCAGCCTATGGGGAAAAAGAGGGCAGGAATGTTTTGGGATCGGGGACTTTAAAAACCAGTGTTTCATGCCAATTTGGTGTGCCAGCCATTTTTGCTAGGCTAGTAGCCATTTCTGTAGGATTGTAAAATAACTATTTTGCTTCTGCTAGTCTCTTGAATTTTTAAAGACTTTTAGTTTATGTGTATGAGTTTGTTTTTGCCTACATGTAAGTGCACCACATGTGTGAGTGCCTGAGGAGGCCAGAAGAGGACATTGGATGCCCTGAAACTGGAATTAGTTACAGACAGTTGTGACCATGTGGGTGCTGGTTACCTAACCTGGGTCCACTGCAAGAGCAGCAAGGTACTCTTAATCTAGGTGCCATCTCTTCAGCTTGCTGAACCATCTCGCCAGGCCCCCTTGAATTTGTTATTGCAGAGTGAGTGTCTTGTTTCAGACATAACTGACAGCTTTAGACCCTTCTCAAGCAAAAGACTATCAGCCAAGCTACGGAACAGATTGCACTCATGCCAGCCCAGCAGCTTAAAACACTTCACAGATGCCTTGAGGAGGCTACAAGGCAACCACAGAAGGGTTTGGGTTTGGGAGTCAAGGGGGACAGTGAGGCAGAGTGTCTTTTTGAGTTAGAGATTTAGTAGAAGAGTTCATACAAGGGAATGCTCATACAGAGAAACAGGATGTTGAGACTCAGTCAGGAAGCAGCATTTATTTCATGACAGTACCAGCACTCAGTGGATTCACATACAAACACTGAACCCAGAGCATAGCAGGGCATTACCTTTTTTGTTTCTCTGTTTAGTTTTTGAGACAGGGTCTCCCTTTAGCTCTAGCTGGCCTGGAACTCACTATATAGACCGGGCTTGATCTTTTTGTCTCCCTTATCTGGTAACATGCATTCTGACCAGGTGTTCTTTGACACTGGGTTGTGACAGGGTTAGACGTGCACACATGAACATTGATTATGTCACTGTAGGAATGATTTACAATTAATATGGACAATATGAACAGAATCTGGACTCAGGACTTTTACTTAAACTTGCACCAACAGGTTACAGTTTATAATATAAACAAGCTCATAGAGGACTGTGCTCTTGTGACCTGGATACCTGACCTTAATCCCTCAGGACCCCTTCTCACCCTCCACCCAAGATAGTGAATGAATGTGGGGGTTCTTGATTAGCGTATCAAAACCCTGTAAGCTGCAGATCTTTCTCACTGTAAACAGTGAAAACAATTGAGAGGCCTGCGTGATATTGTGAGATACTTTAAGCCCAGGGATCAAAGAGCAAGATTCTCTGCCAAGAGTAGATCCTAGCTTCTGCTTCCCAAATTGTTGCTGGAGAAACAGTTTGAATAAAAGTATGAATGAAGCCTGGTTCAGGGACACAGTTCTGTGAAACATCTGAAGGAATGAGTGCCTCAGAGTTCGGTCTACTCTTGGCCTTCAAACTAACACTAACAGGATGATTCTTTATTCAGGTATAACTGCATTCTGAAACAGAAACACCACATGATACATTGCCCTTTCTTTGTTCTCGAAGGCCCTTACCACATTAACCCCATAGACAAATACCAGTATGGTGGAGGTTCTATGTCCCAAAGTGGGAGTCCTTTATTAGAGGTTTCTGAAGAAGGGAGAGGTTCCATGCCACATGATTGATGAATAGTTTATAGCACCTGTTTGTAGTCAGTCTATTTCTGATTCCTGGGCAGCAGGGACAGTGGAAGGGGTCTTGCACTTTGAGGAATGAATGTGTGGTCTTGATTGATGGATGGGGTGAGAAGGAGGATCCCTTTAGTTAATGTGTATCCCTCATAGTGTGTGTCACCAGACTGCTGGTCTCTTGGAGTCTTTTGGCCTTGGGGTCTGTATGCAGGCAGCTGTGAGGGAGGAGAGACCAGTGGCAGATGGCTGTGACCTAAGTAGAGTCTGCTGTGGGTTCCAACAACCATAGTTACTTGCTGCCAAAGCAAGACTCAGAGTCCAGAAGAGACTATCCTAGTCATGACTACTTCAAGTGCTTGACAAGGTCAATATAAGGCCTATGATTGGTACAAATATGGTCTTTCATTTAAACAAAGGACTGTGCCATGACTGGGGCAAACATTCTTGCCACATCCCTTCTAGCCACATAAGGAGACTGTTGGACTCACTTTTCAAGAAACACCCTCTTGTGCGCTACTGGTATTGCAACATTAAAATTAAAACAATTTTTTTTGTAGGCATGTTCCAATAAAAATTTATTTTTAAACACAATTCTGGCTGTTTACCTGTTTTTGCTGTTTTGAAGTGAAATAATTTGTGAGCCCTGAGGGCTCCACTGGATAAACTATAGAGAAAAGAAATACAGAGAGACATCTCAAGAGAGAGAAAGAATCATAAAATGATGTCCGTCAAACTATATTGTTGTAAAACCACACTGTTTCCTGGAGCTTTTGAAATTTTGTTGATTGGGTAACTAGTTCTAAGTACCTGATTTCTATTCTTATGAGTAAGATTTCAAGTTTATTAATTACAACTGTTAATTTTGTTAAATTCAGGAAAGTGAATACATTTTCTTTGCACCATTGTCTTGCACTTTGGAAGAATTCATATTCTTCACTGTCTGTGAACTTCTAAATCTGCCCTCAAGTAAAATCTCTAAATTCTTATTCCTTTTATGAGATGACTCAATAATGATTTTCTGGGGCTGGAGAGATGAGTCAGCAGTTAAGAACACTCACTGTTCTTGCAAAAGACCCGGGTTTGAATCTCAGCCCCCACAGGGCAGTTAACAACTGTCCATAACTCCAGTTCCAGGGTATCCTATGGCCTATTCTGTCCTCCTCGGGCATTGCACGACACGGGTGTACTTACTTACATGCAGAAAATACACTCATACACATAAAATAAAAATAATAAAATGTTAAAAAAGAACTTTAAAAAAATAATGATTCTCTGCTGGGCATGGTGGCACATGCCTGTGGTCCCAGCACTTGGGAGGCAGAGGCAGGCGCATTTCTGTGAGTTCAAGGCCAGCCTGGTCTACATAAGTGACTTCCAGGACAGCTGGGGCTACAGGGAGACCCTGCTTCAAAAAGACCAAAACAAAACGAAACAAAAAACAAACAAAAAAATAATGATTTTCTTTATTCAATTACAAATATTAGTCCCAAATGAAAATTTAAGGAATATGGGGCTGGAGAGCTTGCTCAGCAGTTAAGAACACTGGTTGTTCTTGCAGAATACCCAGGTTCGAATCCCAGCACCCACATGGCAGCTAACAACTGTCTGTAACTCCAGTTCCAGGGGATCCAATGGCCTTTTCTGCCCTCCTCGGGCATTGCATGACATGGGTGGACTTACATGCAGGTGATACACTCATACACATAAAATAAAAATAAATAAAATTTAAAAAAAAGAAAAAAAATTTTTTGGTCTTTTTGAAGC